ATAAAACAGTGAATCAGGGTTTTTCTGTCTAGTAGTCATCAGACAGTTGGTGCAAGAGGAGTAAAGCTGCTATGTATGTTCTTTTTTCTGTAATTAAGGGATAAGAACGACTTCCCCTTCACCCTCATGGATACGTGACAGAGCCTACTAGAAAGGTAGTACCAACCTGAAAATAACTCTAAAGTCTCCTTAGAGATGACGGGTGGCTTCAGAGCCAGCTCACAAATGCTGAACTCACAGGTGAGGGGCAAGTGACAGAGGTAGCGATGACGCTGTCTTATATCCTGATAAAAAAAGAGCAGATATATATCATTGCAACAAGGTCCAGAGGCTGCCATAGTGATGAATAGCTTATGGAGACAGAACGCCCACCGTTCAGCAAATCAAATGGTAAAAAATAGCGGTGACACAATAATCACTTTATGAACTACAAACATGTGAAGGATGCCCTGGGTCAGAACCAAATGCTCCGAGATCTCCACTGACTACATCATCATCAGATTTGGATGCAGTTACTCCCACTTGCTTTCTGATTTTCTTGTTATTCCTCCCTTCTCACTCACATCACCGGAATAAAATTCTACGATACCAGTCTTCTGATGCAATTATTTTTTGCACTGAACCAAATTTGCCTTTTACACTTAAATTATTTGGACCAACGACCACCACTTTGCTAGACTGAAACAAGCAGAGTTTTGTATTTTTCCTCACAGAGCTGAAAAACTTGAAGACAATTCCCCACTACCTCTGCATCCATTCTTACTTGAGCATATCCTTTCTTAAGGACAAATTAAGAATTACATATATTTGTTACTGCACATGCCAGTTCTTGCAGTTGTCTTTATCTGAGGTAAAGGAATTCAAGATCCATCCCCTATTCCAGAACTTCAGTGCCTTAAGCACTTTCACTCCCTCTATCTCAAACACTGAAGTTTCTTTCCGTCCTCTTTATTTTCGTAACATCTCACCTCTATAGGGTGCTTAGAAACAACTGTTTGTTCAAGGCAACGGCAGAACACTTCTTCAGGTTGAGAAAGATGATAATCTGTCTGGTTCAAGCTACTGTCTTATATGAGAAAAGAATTTACTGTTTTTAAGACAGCTTTAACAACAAACTGACCTTAAGGTTGAAATTCTCTCTTACTCCTAAAAGTTCCTACTTTCTAGGAAAAAAAAAGCTAGACTGCAGCCTATTTTTCAAAAGCAACATAAGGTACTGCACCTTACACAGATGCCCTTCAACAGATTAGCATGCCTACCCATTCAGTTATTATTTCTTATTACTGAAGAGCAACAAGTCTCAACTGTCAGCTACAATGATCAATCTGCCAAAACAAGGGCCCTTAATTAATAAGAAGATAAAATAACTACCTCTGTCATTGAGTAGCCAGTTATCTCAACTACAGCTGCAGTTATCTTCTCTGGACTCTTCTCCAAGCTACCGTATTCACGAACAAGACATCGAACGTTCACAGGGTGAAGATACATACACTGTCCATCCTCAGCTGTAAGATAAGATATCATCATTTGCTCTTTGCCTGTTAAGTTTTCAGAACCCTTCTCCCCACCTCAGTACATTCTCCAGTAATAAAATTAAAGCTCCTTTCTGAGTTTCTGTGGGACTTCTATTTCACAGGGGTTAGCTGCATCTAATGAAGTGACAAACACCTTCCTCAAGAAGGATCCCAGAGGAGGCATCTCTGCCACCATGATTCTAGCATTTCATTGCACTGACCTTGATAGAAATAGTAAAAAGGAGAGTTGCTAACATGTCCGCTGCTAACTGTATCTTTAGATTCTTGGTAGCTTGTTTCAGATGGATTTGATTCTTCTGTAGTGTTCATATCAAGTTCCCCTACGGTGTCCACCTCAGGTACTTCCTCTTCATCCAGCACTGCCTCTTCTGCTTCCACAGGAGGCGAAAAGGAACGTGCCAGATCAGAGCAAGGCTCCACAAGCTCCTCATCAAATGCAGAGAGATATTCCACACCACACTATCACAGCAGAGAGCATAGTTAGTACCACATCACCTCCTTCAAAAGATTATCATCTCTGCAAAAATCTTTGGCACCAGTTCACCATACATTGTGGTGTGAAGTGGCAGAATTAAGTATTAACAAGATCTGCCAGAGCAGAGTTGTCACCCACCTTTTTCTCCTGGGAAACTGCAGGCTCCACAGCCTTGGAGCTTTTTAGGACCAATTCTTCCACAGCTGCGCTGATTCCAGCAATGGCATTGTTTTTATCCTGGTCAGCAGAGAGTGCTGTTTCTCGCTCCTATAGGTCATTCAAAGAGAGTAAGTTTCAATTTCCTATGTAAGCCAGGAGACTATCACCACAGTTATTTTTAGCCTTGTCCTGTACTTCAGGTTTTCTTAGTCTATAATTCATCTGTGACAAAGAGTGACCCTTGAAGAGAGGTCCTCTCCTTCTTGTTAATGGAAAGCACACCCATTGTAGGACACCTAAAGGCTTTGAAAAGGAATATTCTACAGGTTTGCTCATGTCTGCCTGATAGAAGTTATCCCAGAAATTGCTGGACCTGAAAGGGAAACACATCTTCCTTTGAAAGCAGAACTCCTTTATATTTATGGAAGGAATACCACTCAGTAAAAAGCATTCTGTTCTATCATCTTGAACATCACACCAGATTTATAATGCTATTCTAGCAGCACACATCACCACTTTGCTAGTGCGTACACTGCGGAGTCCAGAATAAATCATACACAGCCACTTATGCAGCAGAACACAGATGCTCAGCACTCAGCATACTCTTAAAAATAAAGTTACTAAAAGCCTCCAAAGAGGTTCTCACCTTTAGTTCCTGGATAGCTGCCTCAATAAAGCAAGCTTCTGGGGTGTGTTTTTCTTCCTCATACTGTTTTAGTAATGCCGCTTTCTCCTCCAGAATCACCATCTGCAGGACTTGCTCCCTGGATGCCAGAAGCAGCTTTGAATACTGACTGTGCTGGTCATCTGAACAGAAGGAGCACCAAATCATTAATATCTGCATGTAAAGGCACCAGGTTGGACTTCTGTTTCTTCTGAAGTTTTGTTACTGCTCAATTTTGTGAGTTAATTCATCTGAGGGCAGACAATACTTAACAAGAATTTGATACAGACTCCATGTTATTACCATTATATCACTGATGGCACAAGCTGGTGCCACATACCTGCTCTGCTATACACATCTCCCCCACGCAGCAGTTTATCTGCCACTTTCAACCTGCCACTTCACCACTTGATTGCTACACATTAAAAAAAAAAAAAAAAAAAATCAACTCTAAACTTCTATGCTGTGGAAGCATCACCTTTGAGAAGCCTTGAGTAGTCAAAACTTCCTGAAACAATTCAGTCTGCTGCTTCTTCCTCTTCTCTATATACTCAAAAATACTGCAGCTGGAAAGTTCTGAAAAAGTGACCTCTTTTTTGGCTCAAACTAGTTCATAAGCCCGTATGTATTAAAAATCCATAAAACATTACTATGAGGTTTTTACAATAAGCACAGCAGAAACAGTAAGCTATAAAGAATTAAAGTTTAGCAAAAGGTTAATCTTTGTTACTAGAGAGCTTAACTTTACAGCAACCATAGCATCACAAACTAGTGCAGTCCCTATAGTCACTGCTCCCTAAGGGTCCAAGCTTGTCTACAGAACACCAAGTTAATGCTGAATTTCCTGGGTTTAGAATGATCTCAAATCACTCATTTGTTCTTTTGTTTGTTTTAGGAAAGGATATAAAGTCCTTTACTTTGAAATACTGAGAAACATGTAAGCACACACTGCATGCTGGATACCCATCATGCTTTCGGAGACTTGACTTTTTAAAGAGATCTTAAATGCATGCAGCCTTTCACTCTGCACTGACTGCAAAACGAAGTGAGCCAAGGCAGCCCACAAAACAGCAATGTTAAGTAAAATTATTTCTTTAGTCACAAATTTTTTTTGATACTAACAGATAAGATGATGATGTGTTAGTCACATTACTTGACTGGAGAAAACCGAAGAAGGCAGGCAACAGATGTTTGGAATAGGTTTGCAGTAATTTCGATTATTTCCCCATATCACTCACAGATTTTAGCTGATAAGTGATGATGATGAAAACCTTGTTGAAGATTATATCCTTGAAATAGTTTAGACACAGAGTTATTTTTGCTAAGCTGTATAATGAGGAGCCAGGAGGAAAAAAAAAAAAAAAAAAAAAAGAGTTAAGGACACTGAAGAGCCAACAAAAGCAGCAAGTGTCAATGACTGTACAATACAAAACACACATCAGACTGATACCAATGAGTGAGAAGACAGGAGTCTGCAGTGCAGTAACTTGAAGGGAAGCAGCACAGAAGTTAAAGCCTTAAAAAAAACCCCAAAGCATGGGTAGAAAGCTTATTAATAATATGTGGTCATTAAGGTTTTCAGCTGCTAAAACCCATGTCTTGTAGTCCGGTTTATTCTAAGGTGACAGCACAGCACTGCCATGGTAAATCCTCTCCATACAAGTCCTAGTTACAGTCAGGAGCAGGATGCCAAGCCCCAGTACTCAGATATGCTCACCTCCGATGTAAACAGGCTGCACCACATTCATCCACTGAGATTTGGGCAGTGCTATCAGAACACCTTTCTCTCTCCTCATAAGTTGCATCGTAATGGTATCACCAATTGCATATTGACGTGTTTCCATAGCAACAACGCTACAATGTAAGGAGGAGGTTAGTAGAGTAAAAATAACATTCCAAAAAGATGCATCATTTAATAAATATCAAGTCTTACCTCTTGAGATCCTTCTTGTGAACAGAGCCATAACAAATAGGACATTTACTCCAGGTCTTTTCGCTCAGGGAGAGATAGTGAAGGATACACGCCCAACAAAAGATATGCCCACAGCGGGTGATCTTTGCTGCGGTTGGTGGGTACAGACATATTGGGCAAGAGGGCACTTCATGGCTACAAATTCGCTGAAATGGGACATGAGAAGAACGGTACAGGTTTTAGACTTGGAAATCAGTTCCTGTGCTACAGAATAAGCCACCTATAAGATCTACTCTAACATATTACTCTTCCAGCTCTTCAGGCTCTGCTTATTTACCAAGAAATTAAGTACACTGTGAACTAAGTTACACCTTCAGACTGCATATAGAATAACTTTCAAACCCACCCATCTGGCTACTCTAATGACATTAAGAAAGTGGCTCTTCTCATGTTTCCCCTCATGTATTCATCATCTCTAAGAGTTAGCAGCATCTTCCAACATCCAAATTCAGACACTGAGAAGACAGCAAATGAGCTGTCACCTCACTTACACAAGCAGACTTGTGCAGCCCTATTTAACAGCAAGACTAAACTTACCTATTTCCATGAATGTTCTACTTTACTCAGACCCTTTGTTAGCCTGACAGAGACACAACTGCCAAGCAAACACCTACATTTTCCAGCTCTCTTGTAGTGTCAGGTATCCGTAAGCCTACCTTCTCTCCAGCTACACCATACACCAAGACTAGACTTGGCAGATAAGAAGTTTCTACTTGAGGCAACCCAAAGTTCTGACCACAAGTCTCAACGAGATTTTCCATTTTGTTGCTAGGCAAGATGGGCCACCTATGCACAGAATAATTCTTCAAAATTCTACACTCTAGTCCTCTTCCATGGACTCATGCCCAAATTTTTTGTTAATATCTCAATCACAAGGACTCTGTCTACAGAATGTCAGATACTATTTTTGATGAGCTCCCATCTGCGAAAGCAAGAAGAAGCTGCTAATTTTCCTAATAGATTTTAGCACTTCTCTTTTCCTGTCATGAAAGTATTTCATAATATATTCCATGACAGATCTTTCCCAGTATTGTGGGAGTGACAGAAGAGGCCTCAACTCAAAAACAGCTGAGTTTTATGTAACATCACAGAGATAAAGAGGCAGTTAAAGACAGGTTGAGCTTCTTAAGAAGAAGGGGGGGGAAAAAAAAAAAGAAAATCCAGCCCATCACAACTGACCACTTGCTCCACAAAGTCCCAGTTGACCAAGGTATCTGGATCAGCAAAGTGGACTGTGTAGTCCTGTTCTTCAGAGACAACAAACTGGCAGCTGGGGAAAGGCAAAGAGACAGATGACCCACTCAGTTGTTTCTAAAAATTCGTTGGGAACTATCCTATAGGATTCGCTGAGCTGCTTCTTTGTCCAGCAGAAAACTGCTGAATGCAGTCACTAAATTCTACCAACAAAAAACAAGAGAGTTCAATTCACAACCAGTTTTCCAGAATACAGGTGTGTCTAATTTCAGTTAGACGCAACATCTCATACTAATTACAGAATGAGCCAGGCAGAGTGGTTTTCCAGAAACATGTAAGCAACAGCCAGCTCCATCGGGGATCTATTAAAAACAGGGAATCCACAAGTAGAAAAAAATATGCTCACAAAAACTAGAACCACTGAGGTTCCTGCAAATAGACTTCACTATAATAAGTCACAAAACAACAGGGAAAAATCAGAAGCATCAATGCTGAAGATAATTTTTATTATCATTAACGTGATGAGATACAGGACGTCCTGAACACACTTCAAATTCTGGTAAAATTGACCATTATTTCCAGTCAAAATCAATTCCGCTGCTGGATTACTAAACTGTGATCATCATTTGGATGATAATACGTACCTAGGGGCCTCTGACATAATCAGCAGTTTATGAACTAAGACCCACATGAGTAATTGCTTCTGGGACTTATAAATTCAGAATAGCTTTCTTTCATCCAGCAACTGCTGCCCCTACCATCTCAACATACTATTTTTTGGAAAAAAATTACCATCTTCCGTAAAGGAATGACATAGGTCTTCCCAAATGAAGTGTCATATTCCACAAGTGACGCTAGAAAATTAGAGCAGAAGACTAACTGGTTTGTATCTAAAGGACTCAGTCCATCAGGTACCTTCTAAATAAGTAAAGACAACAACTTGATATATTTTTATCCCTTTCAAGTATAGCCATTACCACTAAAAACACTACGGAGAGGTAACTTCACCCTGGAAAAGTCAATACAAGTAGTTAAGCTCAAAAACAATTCCCTGGTTGATCATCCCTTACAGCTCAGTGTCTCTGTAGAAGTCTAAGAGCCCTTCTGGTCTTCCACTCACTTGGCCTGTAGGAAGAGCTCCTTGTTGAAAGGCTTATGTCCCCACTTGTTCCTTTTCCCCCAGTTGCCATGTCCACTCCCATCAAAATGGCCTGCTTGGCCACGGGGTTCAAAAGTGAAGTTCAGTAAGTGGTTCAGATTAATCTTCTTGGGACCAGAGAACTGGGCAGGGCTGAACTCTGCCCGCTGAGCCTCTGCTACCTAAGAGACAACAGCATTTGTTAGAACTTGCTAGAATTTACTACAAAAGCATCAGTACAAGTTGATACCCAGGCCCCATCGGTGATTACGTACAGAATACGCAGCATCCACTCACTTACCTTCTCCCATTCCAGTTCTGCAAATCAAGTAGTGCAGCATTAGAAGTGCATAAGAACCTGAACCTTAGAACTGAGTGGTCTTACTCCACACTGCTCACCAAGGAGAGCATAAAAACACCACACATAAGGACAAGCAAAAGCTGGCAAAACCTAGTAGTCAAGGTTAGTAATAGAAGAAAGCTGTTCCAATCCTGACAACATTCCTTTATACAGCCAGTAATACAAGTCTGATTACTATTTGCACAGGTTGTACTTGTTTTGGTTAGTTTTCATATAATGAAGCAAAGAATGAGAATTCAACAGAGACAGCAGGTGAGTTTTGACAGAGTCCACTCATTCACTAAAACTGAAAAATCAAGAGTATTGGTGAAAACCCACAAATAATCTACAGTATTTAGACCCACATCAGCATAAAAGCCTCAGTACGGTTTTATGCCCTCTTGATGTCACCAAGGCTAATACGATTACTCTCCCAATACCACTATCATGTCCAAATTTGTACACTGAAGTGGTCACACACAATCACATCAGACTTAAAAGCTTGAAATCGTATCACTAGATATTTTCATGAAGGACCTCTGCTTCATGAGATATGTACATGGCCTGCCTAGGTACCCATTCCTCAGATGGTATTTTTTATCGCAAGTTTCTCAAAGCAGAGAGCATTCCTCTTCTGTTGTTGCCAAGTTGTTCTGCTCACACTCACTCTGGCATCTCAACGATGTTCTCCTACCACTTTTTCCCTTCCCAGCCCAGGAGCTGAGCACAGAAGGCCTATCCTAGGCAGGTCAGAGTGATCCTCTCGTCCCAAGAGAGAAGGCCTTGGAGGCATGGCATTACAAATCTCACCTCATCTCGTCTTCCACCATTACAAGAGCTAAAAAGTCTGCCACCTCCACCGCTACCTCCCCTTTGAGGGGGCATCTTGTTAAAAGCTTTGCTTTTCTGTGAATTGGAGCGACGGGACTGACTGGAAAAGTTCTCATTTCTTGAATATGAAGTCTCTCTTTTACGATTATAACGCTGTTTGGATCCACTCGCATTCTTTCCATCTGAAAGAAAAAAAAACAAGAATCAGATCGTCAGCCTCAGAATTGTCCACATGTACCGCGCCTCAGCTAGCTTTGCCTCAGAGACGTGCTCACTTCGGCCACTGCCTTGGGCCCTGGTTAAAAGGCAGGTGTTTATCATCAAATCCCCCCAGCAACCCAAACGGTTTCATTCCTATCACTGCCCAAAGAACTGGTCAAAGAGTATAACAGAAGTATGTATTTGCTGTGCTTTATCTTTTACTAGAATGGCTGAATTGCCATCACCAGACATTAGCATGTTGCCTGGTACATCAAGTGATAAACACCAACACCACATCTTCATGCCCCATTACAAAAACTGTCAACAAATAGTTCATTTTTTTCATTCCGTTTTCTGAAAACACACAATTTATCATATATTGTTCCCTTATATAAATATACTTCTGCCTACGTTTGTCTTGAAGTCTCCCACTTTGCAAGACCCCATTGCCCATTGTTTTCACTCAGTTCTGCCCCCTGCACTTAAAAAGCCCCAACAGATCTAATTCTGTTTTAAAAATACCCTTTTCTTTCACAAGGCCAACAAATGCTAATCGACCTTGAAGCACCGAACCCAATACTTTGGCCTTGCAAGGCACATACCCAATACCTAAGTACTAAGTCCACCAACCTACACAACAAGAACTGTTTGCCCGAAAGCATCCTGAGCGCACCACTGACCCTGACACAAGACACTGGTGAAGCACAAAGCAAAATTGCCACAGGAATAAAGCTCACAAGAGCAGAAAAATCAGTTGGGCTCTTGAAAGGGGTTTCCTGTGAATAAACAGCTGCTTCATTAGACTGCTAGAACAGGAAATTATTACTATGAAGGTATTTCTAATAGTCTTAACACAAGATCACAGTTGCTACAAAGTCACAACAGACTGCTTACCTGTCACTTAACCTAGCATTTCCACCAACTGCCCTAAGTTTTATTTATAAAAGAGGTATGTTGCTAAGCTTGGAAGCAAAACTCCACAATGCCAGCAAGACACCTATCCACACCGACCGGCCCCAAAGTCACTCTGGATACTCAGTAAGTGTTACTTATAAAAGCCTACTAGTTTACCTTTTCCTACTCAGTACCCCCACCCACCCCTTAATATAAATCTTAAGTGGTAGGCAAACATGCCACTGTTATTCAGGATCACATTTCTCATACAGGTAGTTTTCATTACTGGTGCCTCCAGTTTTCCCCTTCCCCAGCACCACTTCCAATCTACCCAAGCATTTAAAACAGCTGGAATGGGATCATTCACACAAAGACTCACTTTTTTGTTATTTCTAGTTTTCTCTCCAACCTAACCCCCCAAAACAGGTGGGCAGTGGACTGGAAGGTCTGTGTGTTATTGTACATTACCGAGGATCTGACTTATTCTTAAGAATAAGTTAAGTAATGAAAGTGGCTTGACTGGGGTTTGTGGTGGTCTGCTGTTTCTTGCACATGGCAGACTTCAGTCTTTGCCTGCAACTACAGCTATAAAGTAAAAGGACACCGTCATTACTTTCACATGATGTGACAGAGCCATTTTGCAGACAAACTTCATCACCAGAACTGGTCATTTACTCTGCTATTCAGAAGGCTGATCCTTTAATTCAGAATTAAACCAACTCTGTCGGAACCACAGATGTGTAACTCAAACACATGCTTGCGTAGCTTGCACTGCTATAATGCACGTCAGGCTAAAAAGGCATGGGTTGAACATTATCAGGAAAAAAAACACACCAAAAGCTGCTGAGTACAGAGGGTGTGACCAGGTCTGGCTGAATGATTATTTAGATAGACCTTTTTTGAGAGTGTTTGTAGCGAAGAGGCTAATCAACACCACTGAGCATCTGGTAAAAAAAAAAAAAAAAAAAAGTCATTTTGAAGAGGTTTAGATTACTGCTTCAGTTATTTAGCAGCAGAGCTTGTCAGTTTAGAGCTCAACCACCCTCTTAAATCTGCAGTTTCAGTGAACATGCTAGAGGGGCACATGCCTATTGTGTCTATAGCAACTTTGCAGTTTCCTGCAATCATCAACTGGGGAGAAGAAACAACTCGAGAGAAGTTCAGTCTAAAGTGGGTCTTCATGAGGCCCAGGAACAAGGAACAACTTGCACCTGCAGCTGACAGAATAATTTCCTACCACTTATAGTTTTAATCAAGTTAGTCACCATCAAATTTGTCGGTCAGCTGGTTTACACACATTCCTGTCATACTACAGGTCCTTTCAGACCAACTCCTAGAGCCTTTGGGAGTCAACATAATGACTCTCACATTCTATAGGAAAGTCCTCTCCACCTGTGCCTTTTTTAGGAAGGACTTGCATGACAGCCTAACAATGCTTCAAACCTGATTTTACTGATTGCAAGTTTCCCCTCCCAGAATAATTACCCTTATGAGGATTCCAGTCCATCAGAGCAGTATTGAAATCGGCCAACAGACAACCAAGAGTTTGGAGTGTGCATTTATAAACTGGAACACTTCTTGCCCACCCCAAATCTAAGCAATGCTGTTGCTTCCAACCTTTCCAGCCTGCCACAGGTCAGAGGGCTCTCTGCTTTGTATCACCCCTCCTTGCAGTCCCACGAAGAGCGGAGCAGGACAGGGCTATCTGCACTCATGCAGGGAGAAAAGTGGAAGAGTCTCACTCTCTTGTTAGATCCCAGTTTTAAGTAGCGTAGGTTTGGATTTGGAAGTTTGTTTTTTCCTTCTTTTTGTGGCAAAATTAAGAATGAGCAACAGTGCTGGTGGGGTACTTACTCTTCACTCAGGTTCTGAGTTAGTCCTTCTGCTGTTCTCACAAAATCTAACCTCTAATAAATACATCTACCCATCCACACTCCAAGACAACAGAGACTTACAAAAAATATTGTCTAAATAATTTTATAAAACTAGCAACAAAGCTGTTCTTGTCTTGTGGGGCAAGCCCCGACATCTGAGGTTTTTCCTGCTGGATGCCATATTCTGTTAGAGGACCTCAATCTCCAAAGATCCAGAGAGAGGAGATCAAGTTCACAGGACTAAAAGCAGCTCTAGGTGACCACTTTGGTCCTGGAGCTGCAGTACTGGTTTGCTACTGGGGTGAGGACTGCAGTTTCCTTCCATCTTTGTTTGCCTCTTCTTTTCAGCTGAGCGGTGTTGAAGCCAACCATATTGCACAAAGGGTTTGGGTGGTGGATCACGCTAAGCCCCACAGTGATTTAATGAAAACACGCTGAAGCTATTGCTGCTGCTAAGGCAAACATCCCAGTGAGCAAGAGGTGACTGAGCAGCACCCGCCCCAGCTAAGCACACTCACACTGCAATAGCAAGGCCCAGAAACGTTTGTGAGAACTGATGTTGTCCACCAGGTCTCGAGGACTGCAGAGAAACCCAACAAGCCTATTTTCCCTTAGCTACTTTATTCCACCCTAATGGGATGTGACTCCTATTGGTGCACTAATATAACCCAAAGAAACTTTTCTGTCAGAAACTTCCGAGTTTAATGTAGTTTCCAAGGCCAAGTTTGAAAGATAGCTGGAATCCAACTTCCACAATTACAAAAGCTTACAGCATCCTATTTAGCCCATTTCAAGCTGTGCTGCAAGAGAAACACAAAGAGAAGCTACCACAAGCTTTCACAAATGTCCATTTCTTCTGCTGGATTTGGTCACAGCAGGTAACTCTGAAGAGCATCTAAATGGCAAAAGCTTGACTAGACTCAAGTCCAGTAACCATCAGTGCAAAAGTCACTTATGGAACAAAAGGTCAGCATTTTGGGACCTGTGGTCCATCAAGAATAATTTCAATTTCAAAGGAGACGCAAGATTTTCAGAATACCTCCTCTACCTTTCCTGAAACAGGAGAGAAATTGGGTGGACTACATCAGCTACATGTAGAATGATAAGGAACTCAAGAAAAACACTCCCATATGGTGACATGCCAGTGTCTTGCGTCCAACAGCTACCAAAACATAGCCACAATTTAACACAGCTGCATCCCATATGTTCATCCTGTGGTTGTTTGCCCTAATCTGACCAAGGGAATCTTCTCATTTTAATTTTCAGTACCCTCCAGTTAAGATCTTCCCAAATATACACCTACTTCTGCTAAAAGAGATTCTAATTTTGCCAGGCCTCTTTGATTCCATATCCCTTCGCTCTCCACTGTAGTTAAGAAACAAGCATCTTGGAAGCAGAATTACATTAAGCCAAAACTTTCTTCTGTTTTATTAAAAAAAAAAAAAAAGAGGTCTTCAAAAAAGGGTGGTTGTTTTTTTAATCAGAAGTTAGTCTACTGCATTGGAGTAGAAGAGTATGGTACATCAGGATTTCTCTCCTCACTGCTCCTCTGCTACTACTGACATTGTTTCAAGCCTGTAAAATGTGACATTCCACAAAAATCACTTAGCACTTCTATTTTGGGCTGGAATGACAGGCCTCGTATTTCCTTCCTCACTACAGATACCGTTTCTTCTAGTTATATGCATAGCAGCCACAGGACAGGCCATCTTAACCCCTTACTGAAGGATGTTTATGTTCTGTGAACAATCCTCCATATAGCACCACAAATCACTAAAAAAAAAAAGCTGTAGTGATGAGGTATCTCTTGGCGAGACAAGGACAGAAACCAGTTCTCCACAACAGGAAAACCTCACGACTGCTAGCCTTTCACCCTGCCTCTCGCAACACATGCGGAGAAGTTTACATACTTTGTCATTCCACCAGAAGCCAAAGATCTGGTTATAAAACTCTTATTGCATGCCTAGCACGTGATACCCCCTGCTTCCATTGGTCTGTCCATTAGAGGGGAAAAAAATTAAATAAGAGACTGAAAAATAACAACAGTAGCTAGGGATAATAAGACCCTCACATCAAATCCTGTTGCTGATGCAAAAAAGCCGTTGCAAATCAGTTAGGAGTTCTTCCAGAAATGACTGCCTAAAAAAGTTCTTCCTAAAAAGACTCTCACATGTTGGAATTTGAGGCTAAAACTTAACTACAATCGCACAGTTACAGCGCAACCTGGGGAGCTGTGGGCAAGCCAACTCCTGTGTCACTCACTTCAGTCTATCCTGTGGAAGATCAGTTAATACAGGTGACAAGCTGCTAATACTTGGTTACTTGGGATCTGAGTGCATTTAGAAGGTCCAAAAAGGAGTCAACACCTTCAAGTTACTCATTTTGTTAACCCTCTGGAATGCGTTGCTGCTTTCTCAGAGACCTGAAGTTATAGTTGAAACAAACCACCAAAGAGGAAGGAAATTAGTACAGCGATGGTGTTGTAGCAACCTGTAGACACTCTCACACGTACTTCCGGGACTAAAAAGCCTAATTTTAATCACTACTGCCCCATTTCTAGGTTTTGGGGGAAAAAAAAAAAAAAAAAAAAAAGCAAGGTTGCCAGAAACACTCTGCTTCCAAACAGCTTTAGAGAACTGGAGGTGGCTCAGGCCTTACCTCGAAAAGACAGATGACAGGAACTGTGCTGGCTCCTCGTGAGCTGCTATGTCAGCAAAACCAGCTGTTTGCAATGACAGACGTAACGCTTTGGCTTAAATGCCAGATGAGCAAACAATGCGTAACTAACTCTGACCTCCCCCAAAGTCGGTTACCAGAATACAGCCGGGAAGGGGAACGCTGTCTGTTGACACAAGACCTCCTTAAGCAGATGTAAAAGCACGCTCTAACTTGAGTACAGAATAAAGTTAAGGTTTCTCTCAGTAAGCACTGGGAAACATATATTCTTACTATAAAGCCAAAGCTTTGCCTCTCAAGCTGATTACTCCAGTGCTAATGGAGATAAGACATTAATCCTTAAGAGAGTAGGAACCGCAGCTCACCCAACAGGGACCAAAGCCGGAAGAGGAAGGAAAAAGAAAGCAAAAACAAGCAGTGAGCTGAAACATAACCTATTAAAAGCCAGCTGAGAGACAAACTCGCGGCAAGGAGAAGTTCAGCTTCACCACAGACCCAACCCCGGCACAAGGCCACGGCCCCCGCACCGCTCGCTGCTCTCTCGCTCACGGTTACCCTGTTCCCCCCTCCCGAGCTACCACCGGTTCAGACCCCCGGGCGAGGCCGCCGAGGGGCCATCGCTAACGGCCTGAAACCCCGGCACTGCCGGCCCGCTGCCCGCCGCCCCCCTC